ATTCAATGAGATAACTTTAGAAGGAGAAAGATAGAAATTATGAGGAATGCAGAAGCTTAGAATTTCATAGAACACAAAAAGTGGATGCACCTGCGCCATTGCAAACGATTCTGAACCATGCAATGGTGCAGGTGCATCCACTCTTTGTTTTCTCTCTAATTATAATAATCTGAATTCCTCATCGCCTTTATTTTTCTCTTTGCAAATCTATTTCACTGAATTATACTTCTTGAATAATTTCTTCGAACCCTAATCTTCTGCATTACCAGTGATACTTCTACAATTTCTGCCACTATGGGATTCGAACTGTCAGTTGCGTCTGTGTGCTGATACGGTATGACAACTTGAACTTATGTACTCATGTTCCAAATTTCTAAACTGTAACTGAATGACTGACTGTAATAGCATAATACACATACATACAGGGTAAATAATGTTCCATGTCTAGTCAAGGCTACAACATCTACTATGTACATCAAATCAAATGTTTCCCATCCCGACCGTAGCTGCTACTTTGACGTGGTATTTGGTTTTAAAACAAAACTTATCTACATTTTATAGTATGCTACATAAATGATTTGTGTATCATTAAGTATTTCGATAACTTAGTCATTTTCCTATGTCGAAATATATATGTACATTTGGATCTTATTAATTCATTCGCTCACTCGCTAGTTTTCTTGCTCTCTTCTCTGTGCTTTCGGTCAGCTGATCCGTTTGTGGTGTGCCAAAATAAACATATTCAATACTTCGTATTCACATTCTGATTGATAAACTGTCTGGACAAGTAAACTACGAAGTCGAAGAACACGTTAGATAATGATCGTGACGAAACTAGTAATACATTGGATACCATATATTGGATTCCCCAACCGTAGCTGCTACCTTGACGTGGTGGTTGGGCTTGACTATCCTCATGACCCAACCGAGCTATACTGGCTGGAACACATCTTCCTGAAGGTTCTACCATGCCAGGCAGGTCGATTGGAGAACGATGAGACTAAAAGCAGCTACTCAAGGTCTGAGGGCGAAGTCATACTGCTGACTGCAGAGAGGTGTGACAGTAGTAAGGTGTTTCCCTCGGACAACCAGCATCTGCAGCGATGCTGCCTTCTGACAAGGAAGGAATGGTTAGAATAGGTCGACCCTGAAAATGTCACGTCACACCCTACCTCACGGATTTCCAGTCCCAAACCTAGATAAAGGAAGAGAGCTTGGTATGGCGTTAGTGACTCCATCCAGTAGAAAACTAACTTACTCAAAAAATACACTAGTCAGAACAAATAATTCAAACCATTTGAACACTGCTTTGGGAGTTAGAGGGTCTTCATTTAGAAGAGTTATGTGGCCACTTGGTGAAAGTGGAGTTTCTTTGGCATTCACGAGACTGATACCCTTTCTTACAAATGAAGTAATCATTAATATAAGTACATAGAATCTTTGCACAATGTAGGAGACCGGCAGAACCATCTAAGTTGCTACAACCTGGTAGTATTTTGAATAAGTGAAGCAAACTGAACTGAGGTTGGAAAGAAAGATTAGCTTCAAGAGAGGTGTTACCGTACTTTGGATATGAAGAAGAAAATACCTCACACACACAAGGAGATAAAAGTATTTTAAATTTTAAATCATCAAAATATAAATTGATATATTTTTCACACGTATAATAACGAACTAGTCTAAAAATAAACTAAACATTTTTTTTAAAACTAAGTGTTTGTAGCGGTTTAACATGATTGACAATGATTTTTATTACAAGTCGATTACGAATTGACAAATTACTGGATCGATATTCAACCAACCTTTTTCATGTCGATCACACACATATACTGAATTATATTTCAACCTACCATTCTAAAAATGTAATAGTCAACATTTTATAAGCTTCGTTTAGTTAACAATATTCTACAATCACTATTTAGTGGTAATAAGCGTTAATATTTCTCTTTCTAAACTTATGATTGACAGTTTTAGTGTTTAAAGCGAAAGATACCTAATTTGTGTTTCAATGTTTATATCAACACCAGCATGCAGATACAATCAGCTGACTAACGTGGGATAGAACAAAACGTATATTTTGAATATCACTGTTGGTCATAATCTTTCTATTATAGTTGGAATCTGTTCAGAGCTGACTTATACTACACAATGTTTTGTGGTGTAGGAGTAGATTGGAAAAAAGCTAGGGGCGGCCAAACCAAAACATGGCAGAAATCCATGAAGTCCCTGACAAGTGGACTGAGTCATGTTGGTAGATGTAGACTACCTGGTTGGGGTCCGCGAGACGAAAGTCATCAATGGTTAAAGACCTTGAACGACATGGCTAAAAATCGTTTGCAATGGCGCAGGTGCATCCACTTTTTGAGCTCTCTCAAATCCTAATCTTCTGGATTAGCCAGCACCCCTACCTTTGTCTTTCTAAGCTTATCTCACTGAATTATACTTTTTGAATAATATCTTAAACCCTAGTCTTCTTTATTATAACAATAATACCTCTACCATCTTTATCACCATGGGATTTGATTTGACATTTGCGTCTCTGTGCTAATAATGTGGTATGGCAACATGAAGTTATGTACATACGTACGAAGTTCTACGTTGCAACTGACTGACTGACACAATCTAAGGATTGGTTGTACCGTAATTTATAAATCTAGAAATAATTAACTTGGACTCGACGATTTATGGAAGAAGAGATTTAAACTTATTGTCATTTAATAATCTGTATTTTCTATCCGATGAAGCCATTCTACATGCAAACACTTTTAGTTATGACTTCTGTAACTCTTTGTCATTAACGATACGATCTCATTTCTAAATCTTCACTTGATATGAATTATTTTACCAGGAAGTTTACGAAACTCAAGAATAATCGATCTCCATTTATCGTTTGAATAACAGCACTCCCATCATTTGTTTACTGCATCAATGGTTACTTCTCACTATATCTCATTCCACAAATGAGAGAATAGTAAATCCAAATGTTCGATCGTTTTCATTGTTGAGTCCATTCAGTTAACATCCTTACTTGTAGATACTTTACAATAAATGGGAACATTAAATTATAAAATAATCATGCACTTGAATCATGATGTAGGCCTGACTGATTTATTGTTCTAGATGATTCAAACTAATCCGATATGTCACTAGAATTCAAATTTAACACACTTTTCATATCACAACAGTGTATCCACTAAAAAGAGTTAATAGTTCTTGACTAATGCTGATGATGTGGAATGAAATAGATGAGCGTTTCTGCCGCTTTACCTATCTCTCGAGTCTCATCAGTGCTGATTGTCTGCTGTCTGACAAAATCGCAGCACTGATAGAGAAGGATCGATTAGCTCTCAGTTTTGGTGTAGGCGAGATATCCGTTCACTTAACAAAGGATGAGTCTACTGTACAGCAATCCGCTCTGTCCCACTTTATGGATGTGAAACATAGCCAATCAGAGTAGAAGACATTCGTAGATTACTGCTTTTCGATCATAGGTCTCTTCGAAGCGCCGCTCGTTTATCTTGGGGCTATCGTTATGAAAAAGATACTAGGTAAGGATAGCAGAGCAACCGTTGGCTCTCTGTGCTGATGTGGTACGGTCACTTGAACTGATGTACGTTCGTATGAAGTTCTACATTGTACCTGACTGACTGATGCTTTGAATTATTTTAATATGAGTGTAAAATGTTCTTCCTAAACAATTTTCGAATCAGAACACTTCAAACAATCTAATGTAACGCGTTTATTCTCCGCATTTAACATTAACTTTCATATCAATACTAACTCTGTCTGCAGCCCCTCTAGGGTTACTGCCAGTCCCAAGCCCAGATAAATGTGGAGATTCGGTACTGGAGTTAGAGACTCCATCCCATAGAAAAGTAACTCGCTAAACATTAAGCGCTAATTAGAAAAATAGGTACATCAATGCTGTTTATACCTTCATCATCAATAGATGAAGTAATGAAACTTCATCAGTTGAGGTGGTTGGGACATGTGTTGCGTATACCTAACCACCGACTGCCTTGACGAGCTTTGTTTTGTAGTGTAGGAGTAGGCTGGAAGAAAGTTAGGGGCGGCCAAACCAAAACATGGCAGCAATCCATGAAATCATTGACGAGTGGACTTAGCCATTTCGGTAATTGTCGATTGCCTGGTTGGAGTCCGCGAGATGACAATGACATGGCTCAAAATCGTTCGCAATGGCGCCGGTGCATTTGTTCCTTGTGTTCTCTCAAATCCTAATCTTCTGGATTCTTCAACCCCTCTAGTTTTGAATTTCTAAACTTTTCTCATTGAATCATATTTCTTGAATAATATCTTCTAATCCTTAGCCTCTCCGATTACTTCTAATACCTTTACTACCTCTTCTACTATTGGATTTTTAATTGACAATTATATCTCTGTGCTGATGTGGTATGGCAACATGAACTGATGTACTTACGTACGAAGTTCTACGATGCATCTGACTGATTGAGTGACTGACTAATTTAATTTGGTTCATGCTTATAAAGTGGCATGAAATCTGTAATTATTATTTTTAAGAATATATTATTTTCATAATTAAATGTTAAAAAGGTTTTTCTGCAAAAAAAAACGTAATCACATCCATATCTAAAAACGCTTTACTAGCAGACTTTTAGTTAGTTTATAGAGTCTATAGAGAATTATCAAAGCGTTTCATCATTTTTGTTTGGCAAAATTCTGACATACGTATCTGATGAAACATTGACGATGTTGGACCTTAAATCTCATCAAAATCGAATTCCAGAAAAAAAAATGGATGTTCACTCATTTTCGTTTTGAATATCTCGTTAAAAATGGTTTGTTAAAACAAAATTTATCTTAATTTAACGATCAACTTTTCAGATTTTACATCCTCATAAACTATTTATATACTTTTTTTAGAACAAACATTTTTTGAACTTACATTACTTTTCCTTTACTTCCATATGTTGTGGTTTGAAATGATACTACACCATTTTGAATTTGAGGCGGTGGTCCACAGTCCCGTTCTATAAAGCCAATAATATGAATAGTGAAATATACAGACAATTTTGGATTAGTTTTAATATTTTCTTCAGGAAAAAGATATCAGAATATGGGCATCGACGACTCCTGCACTAGAGCTTGGAAGTTAGTATTTACATAATTCTATTTAGCATAGAAATGAGGGGATTTTAAATAATGAGTGTAATATAGTTTTAGAGATTAATATTATCTAAAGAACTATGGAGAAATATAGAGTACCAAACAGCTATTTTACTCTATTGTCGGACTCTTCAGTGTTTCATACTTAAAACCTTACCAGTGATCTAATCAAGGATCTGTTGGCGATGTTGGATCCCCAGAACTCGCCTGTTAAATGCCTTAACTTTGGATTTCACGTTTGCGAGCATGGACTGATCAGTTGACATTGGGATTTCATTTCCCACCAAAACAGTCCATGGCTGTGATTGGCTGCTGTGTATTTAAGTACGCTATTTTCATAACTGTCCCAAGGACGTTTCTAGAATGTATAAATAAATGAGAGTTGTATGCTTGATTTTATTGTGATTTCTGGCTGTTTGTAGAAAATACTTTATACGCTTACAAAGCCTTTTTACTTCAGCTTGGGATTCAAGGTAGCCTAGCTGGACTCTGGTAAAAGTCTCGTTCACGTTTATCGACTAAGGTGAACTCGTATTAGCCTCAAGCATACTTAGTGACGAACATAACAGGATCTTAGGATTTTGATGCAAGCGCTTTAACCTAAGGTTAGTAAGTCACTCTATCTATAACCGTCGGTCACACCAGTACAACTATATTTGGTAAGATGAGCTCAATCAGTGACAGACTTTCACTGATACCTTGATCATTCTGTTGGACGTTATTCATCCTAAAATATCTAGATTCACTTTAGGTGCCGAACGACGCAAAATTAGTGCATATATATATAAATATTTTGAGATGGTGAAGAAAATTTGTAGCTCGTGTGGATGATTGTGGTGGTGGTGGTCCTTGGTTCTCTGGTTGTGGTTGTTTTGGTTGTGGAGCTTTCATTGTTCTTATCCTGAACAACATCATCAGCACAAACTTCAGATAGAAGTATAGAGAAGTATATAAATATCTTTGAATTAAACATTAATAAATTTTTGAGGAAAAGCATCATTTTTGCTTATAATAAATGCAGAAGTGATCGATTCTCAATAATTTTATTCAAATGGACATGAATCTACGCATTTACTGTTTAGCGTATGAATTACTCTGATGCATACATTAAAGCAATAATCTTTTTTTTTCATTCATGAGAATTAGATAAAATCTTTGATTTTTAACTGACTGCTTTTATTACTACTACTACTCCTACGGTTTCATAGAACTTTGTTTATAATTCAGTATGAGCTTTAACTGTGTCTACTAACGATTTCATATTCAGTTATCGATTGCTAGTTAGGTTAAATATCATAGATAAAATAGTGTTTTTAATGAAAGGAATTAGAGATGTTATTTTTTACTCTATTCATGTAAGTACTACAAACTGTATTTTTACTATTCAGTGTTCGATCAATAAACTTTTCTAAAAAGAAAGTACATTCAATCGACAATATGTTACAACTAAACTCTTTAAGAAATAATATTTTGTGAAGTTTTTCTTCATGAATTTAAACTTTGTTAGATTCCGGACTATTTTATACTGTCTTTTCAAATAAACGCATTTCATTACATAACACTACTTTAGCTCAAATCAACAACAACCTACTGTGGGAAAGAGAACAAACGAGATTCCAGCTGAGCAAGAAATTAGGAAAAAGCAATGGAGTTGGATAGGACATACATTGCAGAAATCACTCAATGCCAAAGGAAATAAAAGGAAGACCAGAGAACACATTGCTCCGAGAACTGGAAGCAGACATGAAAAAAATGAACCGTAATTGGGTAGGGGTGGAAAGTAAGGCATAGGACAGATTACGTTGGAGAATGATGGTTATTGACCTGTGCTCTATTAAGAGTAACAGATATAAGTAAGTAGGTAAGTAAGTAAGTAAGTAAGTAAGTAAGTAAGTAAGTAAGTAAGCAAGTAAGTAAGTAAGTAAGTAAGTAATTTCAAGTTGAGTGTAGTCAGTTTACTTTAGAACAGATTAAACATCAAAGACGATTGTTGCAAGTAACCAGTGCAATTAAAATTCATCCAAAAATAAAATGAATTTATTTCATTTACATTCATCATACACTATAGTACTGGTTGATTCAACAGTTAGTCTTTGTTTAACTGTTGAAAAATCGGCTCACAATCGGTAGAATTAACAATCACAGTTAAAATGTTTACTCCGCTAATGAAAATAGTCTTACGAAGAAAAAAAATCCGAAGAAAAACTGTAACTGTAAATAATAATCACATACTTTTACAATAAGGTTCTTCTCCATTCCATTTTCCATTTACTTGACAAACTCTCTGATATGATCCATGTAGTTCATAACCTTCATCACATTGTGATATTTGTGTTCCATTCACATTGAGTGAATTAATCACTGAATGACCATTTAAAATTATCGGCGGTTCTGTACAAGTAATAGCTGTTTTAATTAAAACAAATAAGAATGATTAAAATGAAATGGGAACATGAAACCATTAAAAATGTTCTGATATCAATATCAAATCTGAATAGAATAGTTTTTTAAACAAAAATTCAGCATTGAGTGAAAAGTTAAGGCTGTGATCAGTGGAGTTCAACGGTGTCGGATGTAGGCACAATACATTGGTTTCTAATGGTGGTCTAACAACGATTGAGTGATGATTTCAAATGTGTAATCCCCAAAGCTCTAACTGAAAATATCATAACAGTGCTCACTAGTGACTAGCTCCGTGAGGAAATTCTCGGAGTTCTACTTGAGAAGACGTGATCAATGGAGTTCAGCCCTGTCGGGTGTAGGCAGTAACTACCAAAGACAAATGGGTGAGGTCGCGCAAAATCCGTAGATCAATCAGAGTCAGACATTAACAGCGTTGGATGCCGTAACTGTGGTCTGATGGTTATGCGTTCGCGCACAATACCGAAGGTCCCGGGTCCAAGTTCCGCAAGGTGCAGTAGTCGTGGATGCGCACTGCTGATGAGTCCTAAACCAGGACGAAACGGCTGTCCAGTGCTTTCGGGTTCGTAGTGCTGGTTTAACAATGATCTATTCGAACCCAGGACCCTCCGTATTGTAGGCGAACGCCTAACCATCGGACCACTGAGCCGGTATCTAACGGTGGTCTAACATTGATCGATTCATGGTTTCAAAAATGTGTAACTTAACAATCTTCACAACCCCATAATGAAAATGATCTATTCATAAAATAAGTAGAACTCAGCAATCTCCAGAACTCTTTAATGAAAATTGTAATAAAAATAGTAAAATAATAGATTTTTCATAATCTAAATAAGTAGCAATCTATGTTCCTGACATTTTTTGACTTATATCAAGTCACGTGTACAGAATAGATCAATAAATGGTTGAAATAAATCAACACAAGTTTTTAATACAATTAAAATCATAATAGTTTTGTACTTGTCAATGTCATATGATTTTTCGGTCAAGGTGATTTGATGTGAGGCCTTAAAGTGGTATTTTTCCGTGTGTGTGTGTGTGAAGGAGGGTTAGAAAGAATATGTAATTTGTGACATGAAGTAGTAATAAAAATTTTTATGTGTGTGTGCGTAGAACTGTGAAGTTAATGAAGTGAGTTAAATGTAGTGATTTGGATGAATGATCAGACCATCTTTCCCTATTGAGAGCAGAGAAATTTAGAATTATATGAAATTACGGGGTTGTGAAGATTGTTAAGTTACACATTTTTGAAACCATGAATCGATCAATGTTAGACCACCATTAGAAACCTAGACGCACTGCTGAGGAGTCCCATACCAGGACGAAACGGCCGTCCAGTGCTTCCAGGTTTCTAATGGTGGTCTAACATTGGTGGATTCATGGTTTCAAAATATGTGTAACTTAACAATCTTCACAACCCCGTAATGCAAATTTTCTGTGCTCACTAGTGACTAGCTTCGTGAAGAATCTTCTCCGAGTTCTAGTGGGAAGATGTGACCAGGGAAGTTCAACCTGTTCGGGTGTAGACAGTAACTACTACCGAAGACTGTGTATAAGGTTGCGCAACTCGGTGAATTTGATCAAGTTAGACATTGACACCGTTAGATACCCGCTCAGTGGTCTAACGGCCAGGGCGTTCGCGCACAATACAGAAGTTCCTGGGTTCGAATCGTGAATGCGCAATGCTGAGTAGTCCCATACAAGGACGAAACGGCCGTCCAGTGCTTCCACGTTTCTAATGATGGTCTAACAATGATTGATTAGTGATTTCAAATATGTGTAATTGTATGAAATGTTTCAGCTAGTCATCTCTGTTTATAATTGAAAAAAGACTTCTGAATTATTTTGTTATTGTTGAAAATAACATGTACTTCTATTGATGATTTGATTTGTAATTTTTTTAGTTGTACAGGAATATTGGGCAGTCTTTTTGTGTAACTTAAGTGTTCTTTGACACTAGTCGAAAATTCGTTAGCAGACTCGCCAATTTAGAACATTTCACAATCAACACAACCAAGTTTGTAGATATAGTTTTGGGCAGATGTAAAAAGGATCCTTAACTGAAACATTGGTGTTGTTTTGTAGAAAGCTGTAATCATGAATGTTTTGAAATTTCGTTGTAATTCTTCTGTTGTAACTTGAAGATAGGTATCAACTAAAGGAATTTCATTAGAATTGTAATTTATTGATGTATAGTTTCGTTTTAATGAGATTTTATTCATACTCCTAGGGAAATTATTACGTCATAAGATGTTTATTAGATTATTTTTTCCCTTTTAGCTTGACCGTTTGTGAAATAATGATTTCGGAAACATTTTTCGTAATCAGTTCATGGCCAGAGAAATTTTCACAACTGAATAAATGTATGGAGTTAATGTCAATGTACCGATTCAACATTATATTCGAATTCTTTTTAGCTGAACAGTCTAAAAAAGGTAGTTGGTATACGTCGTTCGCCTTCAAAGAACGTATTTGTCAGTTTAGAGAATCTTCGAAGGATTGTCTGTTTTTTTTAATGATAACAAATGTGTCTTTGAGTTGGTGGAGAAGATTCATAGGTCAGGTGGATGGTTGTGGTGGTGGTGTTTGGTTCTCTGAGCTGGGTGTTTTGGTTGTGGAGCTTTCATTGTTCTTCTTCTGAACAACATCATCAGTACAAACTTCAGATAGAAGTGAAGCATTCGAATTTCTCCACGGTTGACCCGTAGCTTGTTCTGCTAACCTCGGTCTTGATTGGTTGTTGTTGACCTTAAACTTGTCGCTGTTTGCACCTTTGTTTTGATTGATTCGCTCTTCTGATCTGTTTCTTGATCCTATGTCACCTATGATTATTCTGATTGGTTGATAAATTGGGTCAATATCGATGTGTTTGTTGATTGCTGATTGACCTGAGTGCCAAGCTTCTAAGGATTCTCTAGTGTTCTTTGTCCTCCCCCTATCCAGTATTTCCACATTGTTTCAATCGAATGTATGTCTATAATTGTCGGTGTGTATTGATATAAGCGAAGCGTTGTCGTGGTGTTTGACTGCCAATTGATGTTCACGTAAACGAGACTGAAGAGGCCGTCCACTTTGTCCTATGTAGTGTTTTTCACAGAGTGAGCAATTTATTTTGTAGATGATATTTGGTTTTTCTTCGTTTGTCATTTTGTTCTTTGGTCTACATAGGATTGATTGAAGTGATGGTGTTGGTTTGTGTGCCGCACCTATTCCAAATGGTTCCAGTAGTCGTGGAGAAATTCGAATGTTTCACTTCTATCTGAAGTTTGTGCTGGTGATGTTGTACAGAAAAATAATGAAAGCTCCACAACCAAAACACCCAGCTTAGAGAACCAAACTCCATCACCACAACAAATGTGTCATCTACATATCTGAGCCAGATGTTTGGTTTTATGATACTGTCAAAAATGAGAGACTCGATATGAGACATAAATATATTTAAATCAATCGCAGATTCCGGAGATCTTATGGCCACTCCGTATGTTTGTTTATATCAAGTCCCATGGAAGGTGAACCGTGTAGAATTCAAACACAGCGTAATGGATTTCATAACTGAACTAATGTTTTTATTGGACATTAGCTAGATATAGTTTCACCATCAATGAACTGTAGACGGCGATCAATTATCGCTTAGCATTTTCTCATTTTTGTTGATCGATAATTCCTGTATTTCAAATTTAGATTCATATGACATTATTTAGGTTATACTGAAGCTTAGATATTTGACTGCAGCACATGTAAGGATGTTTTTGAAGTTTATTGTGTGTCTTAATGGAATGTCGGGTTAGCAGAACAAGTTACAGGTCAAACGTGGAGAAATTCGAATGCTTCACTTCTATCTGAAGTTTGTGCTGATGATGTTGTACAGAAAAATAATGAAAGCTCCACAACCAAAACACCCAGCTCAGACAACCAAACAACACCACCACAATTTTAGGTAACCTAAAGGTATCATGATTTCAACTGTACTATAAAAATATTTTGCATCAAGTCACTGAATATGAAGAACCAAAAATTCAACTCATTGAAATATCACCGAAAATCATAAATACGTATGTTACATGTGTTACATATATTTCGCCATTTTATTCGGACGTACACGACTGATTGACCTGCATGAAATTCAACAGTAGCTATGACTAAATATTCCTGTCAAAAACTGATCAACAGAGTTAATCATAAAATGAAAACTTCTAAGTTTATGTACAGTTGAAGACATTAGTTGAGAAATGCTGCACAAAAATTAAGTTTGATCTTATGGAGTTGCATTGTTATTTCATGTTTTTAATTGTACATTCGTATGTTTCAAATGTTACTTGTGTGGTGCTGTGGTGTGAGCTACTTATAAGTAGTATATGACGTGAGTGTCAGTGTAATGTCTGGCAGCCGAAGATGGGGGGAAGATCAAGAAAGGAAGAGTTAGAAAACAATGGAATTTGTATGAAACGCATGAATAGTGACAATGGATTGATGTTTTGCAACAGGAACAGTCCAGTTCGATCTGACGAACTGTTATTTTGCAAATGAACGATTAACGATATGGTTTTCCTATTTTACTTAGTAACTCTGTAATTTTCGTTAAATACGATTCGGTTGCCCCACCTGTGTTCTCTTTCACTACACTTGTAAATTATTTCTTATATTTTTAATATACTACTATAATCAATATTACTACTTTGAATGTTTCGTTTCAAATTTGTTATTGTGTGAAAAGGAATTTTCAATTTGTGTCAAGTTCTCTCTCTCTCTGGTTTTATAACTCACTAAATACCTATTTATCTGTATATTTCTCAGATCAAAGAGTGATAGCCGTATTTTGAGTTCACAAAATTGATTTCATATACAGTTTTATAGCATGTTATGTATAAATATGTAAATTTAATTTACTTATTCACTTTGAATTAGAACCATATTCAAAACATGATAGGCAAATGGTTGAAATATGTAAGTTTGAACTTTTAATCACAATTAACTGGAAAAAATATTTTGTTATGATTTCCAAATCGTTTGAGCCAAATTTCAAAGAAATTGGATGACAAATGTAAATTTGTACAATGAAATTATTCAAAATGAAAGTAAATATTATACGTGATTGTCAGAAGTTTCAATATGAACGATAAAATCGTTCTGTTGCATGGAGCGTAAAATTAGAGGACCGCGAAAGCTATCATCCAAAAGATAAAAGTGTTTAATAACAGTTGGTCTATTCAAGACACACAAAGTTCGTTAATCAGAAAGCACTAGCAACAACCTACTGTGGCTAGAGTGTGCTTCAGAAGACGAAGAAATTAGGAAAAAGTCTTAGAGGTGGTTAGGACACACATTACAGAAATCACTCAACTGCTTCATAAGGCAAGCCTTATTAACTTACAGTCCTCAAGGCCAATGGTGGATCGGTAGAATCGGAGAGAGACATGCAAAGAATGAACAACAGTTGGACGGAACTAGAAAGAAAAGTCTAGAACAAAGTCGGTTGGAGAGTGCTGGTAAACGGGCTCTACTCCGTTGGGGGGTAACAGACATAAGTAAGTAAGTAAGTGATACCAAGAATTCAGGTGGTTTATAAAGTTTCACTAATAAATCGTTGAACATTGAGATAATCAGCAACAAATGCAAGAGAAGACGACTAGTGTAGCAGCAGCCTCAACAGTAGTAGGTCTCAACATACATAAAGGAAAAAGCGAAATTCTCCGATGCAATACAACATGCACCAACCAAATCACTCTTGATAGAGATGACTTGGAGGACGTTAACACCTTTACATGTCTTGGCAGCATCATCGACGAGAAAGGTGGATCCGATACAGATGTGAGGGCACGGATTGGCAAAGCAAGGGCTGCATTTTTACAGTTGAAAAATAGCTGAAACTCCAAACAACTTTCAACCAAAACCAAAATCAAGATTTTCAATAGAAATGTCAAGACAGTTCTACTGTATGGAGCGGAAACTTGGAGAACTACGAAAACCATCATCCACAAGATACAAGTGTCCACTAACAGTTGTCTACGCAAAATACTTCGAATTCGTTGGCCAGACATCATCAGCAACAACTTACTGTAGGAGAGAACGAACCTGATTCCAGTGGAAGAGGAAATCGGGAAGAAGTGGTGGAAGTGGATAGGACACACATTACGAAAAGCACCTAACTGCGTCACGAGACAAGTCCTCACATGGAACCCTCAAGTCAAAAGGAAAAGAGGAAGGCCAAGGAACACATTACGCCGAGAAATAGAGAATGACATGAGAGGAATGAACAAACATTGGACAGAACTGGAGAAGGAATCCCAGGACAGAGTTGGTTGGAGAAAACTGGTAGGCGGCCTATGATCCATTCGGGTTAACAGGCGTAAGTAAGTAAGTACATAAAAATATATCATAAAATTGTAATCGAATTGTTTTCAACTTACCTTTACAAATCACCTCATCTCCTGACCATGATCCATTTTCTAGACAAATACGTTTACAACCTGAGAATATTAAAATCTGGTAGAATAAATTCTGAATATGAAACTTTGTTCAATGTTCAAAATTATGACACACTATAAAACCAGTTGAAATGTGTTGAAATGTGACCACTAGTTAAAACAAAGGGAACATCATTCCCATCAAAATTACAGGTACAATTTGATATAGTATACCGAGTAGAGTGAGACGTAGGTTGAGGATTTTGCCATGAATACCTCAATCAATCAGTCAACAACAATGTGGAACTTTGTACATACGTACATCAGTTCAAGTTGCTATACCACATAAGCAGAGAGATGTAATGATCAGTTCGAATCCCATAGTAGTAGAGATAGTATAAGTATTAGCAGTAGTCGGAGAGATTAGGGTTCAGCTATGTAATTCAAAACGTATCATCAAATGAAATAAACTTAAAAAGAGAAAGATAAAGGTGACGAGAAATTCAGAAAATTAGAATTTGAGTGAACACAAAGAATGAATGCACCTGCGCCATTGCAAACGGTTTTGAGCCAATCAACCTACAAAAATTAGATTCCTATCATTTATATGAAAATTATTTCAGCAAAGTGTGTTGAAATTATTGAAATATGACAAAAATTAATATCGTTACGGGGTTGTAAAGATTGTTAAGTTACACATTTGAAATGATCAATCGATCAATGTTAGACTTGCAAGCATTGGACGGTCGTTTCGTCGTGGTATGGGACTCATCAGCAGTGCGCATCCACGACTCCTACACCCCGCAGGATTCTAACCCAGCAACTTCGGTCTTCCACGCAAACGCCTAACCTCTGGACCACTGAGCCGGTATCTAGCGGTGTTAATGTCTAACTTCGATCAATTCACGGAGTAGAGCAACCTCATACACTGTCTTCGGTAGTTACTATCTACACCCGAACAGGCTGAACTTCAATACTCAGGACTTCCCTCTAGAACTAGAGGAAGATTCCTCTGTATGAATCACGCAAGGTGAAGGAGTTGTTTAAGCGTACTGAAGATGAGTTCTATACCAGGACGATACGGCTGTCCAGTACTTCCAGGTTTCTAATGATAGTTTAACACTGATTGATTTATGATTTCAAAAATTATTATTTATCTTGGCATAACTAAGTTGCGTGCATAATAAACAAACATACAGAATATTACTGTATTCAGGTATATATTTAGCATTGTTCTATGTGTCCATGCATTTTTGTATCTGTTCAAAGTGAAATGTAAATTATGTAACATTGATGTAGTACACTGATTAAAAAAAAACCCACTTTCACTGCATGGTGTAAACTTAAATTCCTCAATTTGTTGTGTCATAGTTGTTTGTATAGTTTTAAAAAATTACCTAAACGGAATTGATCAGTTTCACAGACAAATAATTCATTATGTGTGTATTGCGTAATTTTAATTTGTAGTTTCAGAATTATGAATATTTATGTAAATATCAGCATGAGAAATGATATTAGTGAAATCATGACTAAAAAAAAATTCATTTTCGATTTAAAATATTATCTAATTAAAATGATAAATAATTTCATTTTTAACAATTTTTATTATTTGAATTCAAAATGTTCACTGAAAATTGGTTGAATTCCTTGCCTAGTAGAATTGTGAATTATTCATCATTTTCAACACACTTTCAGTGTCATGAGTAATTTTTTTGATTTCGAATATTTTCAGTTAGAGCTTTGGAGATTTGTGTTTTTACACATTCGAAATCATCAATCAATCATTGTTAGACCACCATTAGAAACCTGGAAGCACTGGAAGGCTGTTTCGTTCTGGTATGGGACTCATCAGTAGTGCGCATCCAAAACTCCTGCCCCTCGCAGGAATTGAATGTGTAAAAACACAAATCTTCAAAGCTCTAACTGAAAATATCGTAACAGTACTCAGTAGTGACTAGCTTCGTGAGGAAATTCTTGGAGTTCTAGTTCAGAAGACGTGACCAATGGAGTTCAACCCTGTAGGCAGTGTAGGCAGCAACTACCGAAGACAAATGGGTGATTGATTGATCAGAGTTAGACATTAACATCGTTGGATGCCGACCCAGTGGTCCGATGGTTAGGCATTCGCGCACAATACCGAAGGTCCCGGGTTCGAATGCACACTGTGAATGCGCACTGCAGATAAGTCGCAAACCAGGACGAAACGTCTTTCAATGCTTCCAGGTTTCTAATGATGGTCTAACAATAATTGAATGATGATTTCAATCTGAAAAAAATACCAATCTACATAAATCTAATCGAAAAATTGTGTTAAGCTTTAAATTATTCACCTCATCATAAATTTCTTACAAAATTAATCCAAAAAGCAATCTACAGTTTGTACTAAAACGTTTTTTGCAACTGAATTCTCATTTCGCATAAATGACTGATCATGAAGAACAAACTAACCATGGAAAATTGTAGAGAATTTTTTTTTTCAAATTACAGCTTATCTTAATAATGATTCATACGTTTTCATTCCGAATGCTGCCTTATCGCACGCTAGCTTAAGATGTCATTCCGTTCGTATACACATGGGGTTTATGATCGTAAAAAAAAATTCTTCTGATACGCAGTGAATTTTGATCTTCAAATAAACCTCTGCATAGTATTGTTTGTCAGCTCTGAATTATTTCAGCATTTTTAGATACAAATAGAAGAATTTTGTGTTAACCAGTTAGTGTACTGTACTGTACTGTATTTATATATATTATTTCAGACAATATGATAATTATTTATGAAACACGCAATATTATAAAGATAAATGTGACTGCTTCATACATGACAGAATAATACTGTTTTGTTTTATAGAGAAAATTTGACAGATAACGATTATTTTTTATGCAATAGTTAACATGAATAAAACAAAGTTGATATGAACTAATCATTACAAAGAAAAAAACTGTTTGTTTTTGTACACTGCGTATCAGAAGAATTTATTTTTGCGATCATAAACCCCCATGTGTATACGAACGGAATGACATCTTAAGCTAGCGTGCGATAAGGCAGCATTCGGAATGAAAACGTATGAATCATTATTAAGATAAGCTGTAATTTGAAAAAAAAAAATTCTCTACAATTTTCCATGGTTGATTTATTATTCCTGATCAGTCATATATGCGAAATGAGAATTCAGTTGCAAAAAAAACGTTGTAGTACAAACTGTAGATTGCTTTTTTGATTAATTTTGTAAGAAATATAAGATGAGGTGAATAATTCAATGCTTAACGCAATTTCTCAATTACATTTATGTAGATTAGTGTTTTTACACATTCGAAATCATCAATCAATCATTGTTAGACCACCATTAGAAACCTGGAAGCACTGAGACTCATCAGCAGTGCTCATTCACGACTCCTGCACCGCACAGGATTCGACTGTGTAAAAACACAAATCTCCAAAACTCTGCCCCAAAATATCGTAACAGTGCTCACTAGTGACTAGATTCGTGAGGAAATTCTCAGAGTTCAAGTGAGAAGAAGTGACCAATCGAGTTCAACCCTGTTGGGTGTAGGCAGTGACTATCAAAGACAAATGGGTGAGGTCGCGCAAAATCCGTAGATCAATCAGAGTTAGACATTAACACTGTTGGATTCCAGCCCAGTTGTCCGATGGTTATGCGTTCGCGCACAATATCGAAGTTCCTGGGTTCGAATCCTTCGAGGTGCAGGAGTTGTGGATGCGTACTGATGATGAGTCTCGTAACAGGACGAAATGGCCGTCCAGTGCTTACAAGTTTCTATTAGCGGTCTCACAATGATGGATTGATGATTGTACTGTGTTAAAACAATTTACCGTAATCACGTGTTTCTAGTCCATAATGTTAATAGAATACCATCGATCAAGTTACCACTAGTTCAAATAACTCAACATTAAGTGTAATTTGTTTCTTGTTCCTTGTGACATTAAAAATCAGTTCTACAAATCGTTACAATTGAAAACACTACTATTAAACTGATCTGCGGGACGGCTAAGATCATGTGTTTAAAATGACATAAGTTTTGTAAAATGAATTCTACTAAAAGTAGTTATCATGAAAACCTTGATAAATAGGTGCTTTTATTACTTACTTAAACTATTATCCATTGACAAGAATGCAGTATCACAGTCAAATTTATAACCTTCTGAACATGAGATAAGTGCTTCTGCTTGAAAACTTTGATCATATTTATACTGAATATATCCATACTGAGGTTCTTTTATAAAACCACATGATATTCCTGCGGAAAAAAACGTACAACAGTAATGAATAAAACTTTTGACGTTGAATACTCATGTTGTTAAATGATGATTTTTACATCGAGTAGTTCTAATTTTTAACTTCAATTTGATCTTGATGTTATGTGTGCATTTTTAATTGAAATGAAATTACTGAAGTTCTACTGGAAGACAGTAAACTGTAGAATTCAACCTTACTTAGTTACTTACTTACTTACTTAGTTACTTACTTACTTAATTAATTACTTACTTACTTACTTACTTACTTACTTACTTATGCACTTACTTACTTACTTACTTACTTACTTACTTACTAACCTATGCACTTACAAACTCACTTACTTACTTACTTATGCACTTAATTATTTACTTACTTACATACTTACTTACTTATGCACTTACTTACTTACTTACTTACTTACTTACTTACTTATGCACTTACTTACTTACTTAAATAATTATGCACTCACTTACTTACTTACTTACTTACTTACTTACTTACTTATGCACTTGCTTACTTACTTACTTACTTACTTATGCACTTACTTACTTACTTACTTACTTACACCTGTTACCCCTAGTGAAGCAAAGTCCGCCGGCTATTTTAGGAAAAATACAGAAAACTCTTATGGGATTTGTTGACGTTAACGCTTTATTGAGTTAAACCTATCAGACACTTGATTCCTAAACGGTAGTCAAAATGTACTACTGTCATTGCCAGTCCGAAGATTGTTCGTTTAACCATATGTTAAGTTTTGTCACCATATGCTCACTTCTCTTATTCCATAAATATACACTATAACCTATAATTTTAATTATGACAGATTCTCTATAGAAGGTTTCCTATTTCCCCCTTAATGATATCGAGAACTGGCAACGATACGTCACTGTAAACATATGCTCATTCTCGTTTTAGTTATGTTAACTTGTGACGACAATTCGATTCCCAGAAGTATGTTTTCTGTTATTTGAAAAAAATGTCAGCAGGGTCTACAACCATGCTGAAATTATAAACTAACTCTTATCGTCGTTTCCAAAGGTAAGACAGTTTTTACAACTATGAATTCTACTGATAACAATAAACTAACTTTGCTTTATTTAAAAAGTGAAAGACTTTTCAAGACATTATTTCCCCCCGAAAAATAAACAAATTCATACACCCGAATCATTGTTTACTCTATAAATTACTGTTTAAAGTTGACAAGAATAATTCGATTCTATTTTTGTGTTTTCGACATAAATATTCGGAAAAATTCTTCTATTATTTACCTAACTTCAGTTTCTATTTTTAATTTTCTATAAAATTAAGTAAAAACCTGATTAAGGCGACAATTTAGTTAAGTAAACAATATTGAACAATATTGAAGAATCAAACGAAATAGTTCCTTATGCTTACTTTCACATCTCAATTCTGAATATTGCCATTCTGTTCCAACACATATTGCTTCTGTCAATTGTCTCTCTGAATCTCTATAACCAGGAATACATTCAATTTTGACTTTTTCACCCGACCGATAATCATCACGAATCTTATCTGATGGATTTTGTGGTGATTGAATTATTCGTGTGTTTAAAATAGCCGGTGGACTAAAACATGCTAAAAAAAAGTTGATAAAAATACTAACTAATTATCTGTAAAGGAGTTATAAGGATTGAATATTTGTAAATATATATTTATAGCCACGTTTTCATGTAATCACTGTTTACCATTAGAAACCTGGAAGCACTGAAAGACAGCCGTTTCGTCCTGGTATGGGACTCATCAGTGGCAGTGAGCATCCATGACTCCTGCACCCCGCAGGATTCGAACCCAGGACCTTCGGTATTGTAGGCAAACGCCTAACTATCGGACCACTGAGCCGTTAGACATTAACACCGTTAGATGCAGGCTCAGTGGTTCGACGGTTAATTGGTGGCTATCCACTTCAGGCAATAGATGAATGTTGCGCAACTGAAGTTAGATAACAACATTACTCATTGGTCTAAAAGCTAAGCGTTCTTGCGTGAGATAGAAGGCGACTGGTTCGATTGTCACGTGCAGAGGTCCTTTATACTCACTGCTTGGTAGTCTCATACTATGACTAACCAGCCGTCTAGTACTTCCAGGTTTTTAATGGTGATCTAGTCAAGATCAGTTCACGATTTCAGCGATAAAAAATGTTTCTGTCAGTTGGTGAAAGAGTAAGTTTTCTTGTATTCTTCGAGCTCCCTGAAAGTGATCGTCACCAAAAGAATAATGAAGACATAGGAATTATACTTCGTAAAAAACTAGGAAATCAGGCAAGTAAAAAAAATGAAGATATTATTCAGAATAAAAATTTAAAACAAAAATTTAATATTGAATACATCTGTATTACTCTTACGATGTGTGGTGTCCAAGTTTGATACTGAGAAAACAAACTTCCCATGCTCATGTTTGCAAGCAGCTACACAGTGAAAATAGACCAGTTTTCAGTTAAATTATATCACATCTACCTTTTAGAAAATGAAACAATTTCTCGTCTTATGATGTGTTTGTAATTAAGAAATTTTTGATTATGATGGTGAAGTATTCGAATACTTCACCTCTCTATCTTAAGTTTGTATTGATGGTGTTGCTCAAAAGAACAATAAAAGCTTCACAACCAAAATATCCAGTTCAGGGAGTGAAATACCACCACAATCATCCACTTGAGCTACAAATTTCCTCTATCATCTTAATTTTCGATTAGATCAACATGGCCTTCTCATTTGATGACTTTTGATTTGTCCATTATTTCAGATACTATGATCGAACTTTGGACACAATATTTTAAGTTATTTTATGTGAATTGGTTGCGATAAGTAGGGAAATCTATAATGTACATATCTTCTTAGTTACATGTACCTATATCCCAGAATGGATGTTCATGTTAGAGTTTTCTCTCAGTACATTCTCCCCCAAATATTGACACGATAGCCATTGAACTACTGAGTTCAGACAGTTAGTAGTTTGTTATGAGAGTATTCACATCATTACTAGCAAGCGTTTCAGTTATTCCGTTATTGATGTCAACAAACAAGATGACTGAATTCCTTACACACAGTCTTAAGTTTTCAGCTACGAAGCACAGTGATCGCATAGACTTTAATCGGTAGATCATCACCTATTTAGATTGAACATTAACTTTTTCAACGCTTTAATCTGTAAAACATACGTTTAAAAATATACTAATTTGGATTTATTAACAAAAAAACGTGTTTATCATACTTTCAGTTTGATTACTGCATGTTGGTGCTGATCCGCTCCAACTTAAAGTTGCCAAACAGTGTCGTTTACGTTGTCCTCGAACTGTCAGACCTGGTTTACATGTATATTCCACAATATCTCCAACATCGGTATCATTGAATATAACATTTCCGTTTAATAACGGTGCAGGTTCAGGACATTTAGCATTCTCTAAATAAAATAAAAATTCATACCAAACTTACTATCAAAATTGTAATAATAAAGTTAAAGTTTTACAATAAACAATGTGTTTAAGTTAGCCAATCATAAATAACTTGGACCTTTCATATGCTCGTCAACTGATATGTTTGAAGCTATTATGAGTTCACCTTACTCGGTAAACTAGTGCTAAGATATATGATCCAGTGACACAATAGGATATTCTAATCCGTTTGTCTCCAGTCCTGCGAACAACAGCAAGAAGTCTTGATATGGCGTGGAAAGTGTATTCTACAAGAACCCGGAAAACATAAGGGAACATGCACACAATCAGTCTTATTTATACATCATAGAAACGTCCTTGGGAAAGCCACAAAAACAGCATACGTCAGCCAATGACAGTTAAGGATTTTCCGGGTGGGAAATTTAATCTCAAGGTCAACCGATCAGCCCATGCTCGGGAACATAAAATCCAAAATTAGGACCTTTATTAAGTGACTTTCGGGGACCTAACGTCCCACAACAAACTTGAAACAAATGTACAAAAGTTCCAACTGTTCAGCTACAAAATCATAACAAGATGAAGTTATAGAGATTAACATCAAAGTTATTAAATATTAATGAAGCGAAACATGATTGGCGCAAGAAAAATAAATACATGGATGCAAAGGAAACTAGAAAATAATTTTATAACTTAGAATCTAAGAAAAAAAATAGAAAACGGTGAATACGTCTACTCAACTGTGACCGGTTTAGTTCTAGACCACTCAACATTTCCGGACATGATAATTGCATGAATCGAAACCTCGGTAGTTTTTTAAATACGTGCAGTAATCACTCATATGATGGATCAATATGGTGTCTTCCAACCTAATCCTCTACCGTCTAACACTATATGTCTGAGGGAAAAGACAGTTTAAATATACCATACATCCCCCAGTTGTTGGAAATTGACAAATCCAAAATATTGATTTGTGATCTTTCTCAACAACTATGAGTTCAGTTTTTAGCATTGAACATTCGACTATCCTTTGAAATAATCATTAGTGTCTTAAAGGATTTGATTATCGATTATTAACATTCAACTATTCAGTAGAGTTTTCTATCAAGATACCTACAAACTTTATTGAATTCCTGTTTATTAATAAAATCTACATTTACAGTATTGAATCCGAAAATTTGAATGTTAAGTACAGAATTACCAAATCAGTATTTGTAGACTTATTTATGATTAGTAAGTCTGAAACATCAAAAATACTCATAGTAATTATTTTATCATTATGGTGCATAGAAAGCCGACCAGTGTTCTCCAGCATATTCTGTCCCGAGCCTCCCTTTCCAGTTTTGTTCAACCTTTGTTCATTCTTATCATGTATGTCTCCATTTCTCGGCTTAATGTGTTCTGTGGCCTTCCTGTTTTTACTTTTGACTTGAAGGTACCAAGTGAGGGCTTGTCTTGCGAGGCAGTTGAGTGCTTTATTGAATGTGTGTCCTATCCACTTCCAGCGCTTCCTCTTCCGCTGAAAGTTCATTGTGATTCCCTCTTTCTTTGTTTTGAAGGATGCTTTAATGATCTTGGGTCGACGAAAGCCCCATCCTGTTAGTGCTTTTTGTGGTTGTTTGGACAGCATCATTACAACGCCTTGTGTGCATGAGGCGTTCTCTTCTTCATGACTGGAGTATAACAGCAGCTCTCCTGAAGCTAGTCTTAGTTTTCTAGCCGGCGTTCAAAGAGTTTCACTGATTTCAAGTACCTCTAGGTTGTTTCTTTTCATTTCTGCGGCAATTTAGAACATTATATATATATATATATATATATATATATATATATATATATACATTATATGTACCTTAAAGAATGGTTGCTCTGCTTATCAGAACTTGGAACTTGGCTTTTATCATGAGACGTTATAATTCTTCTGAAAAAAGACCTTCTAACTACCAAGGCAGAGTTGAAATATTTTGAATTATGTTTCCTGGTTAGCGTTTTTTTGGCGAGTTAGTTTTCTACAGGATGGGGTCACCAAACTCATACTTTACTCCCCTCCTTTATCCGAGTTTGGGACCGGCAGTAGCCCCAGAATGGGGGTCCAGGAGGAGTTATGCTTTTAATAAGCATAATACGAACGAAGTATTGTTTTGAAAAATTTCCTTTTTTGATTACTACATGCGTAGTGCAGTATGGAGTTTGAAAATAAATAAAACCATTTCAATATATATTCTCATGTGAATTGAATAAGATTTATTACACTATTATAAATGATAAAAATTGTAAAGATTCATATATTCGTCCTGATTATTTGAATAAAACACTGATTATTTAAAACAAGAAATAGTTTCCTTTACTATGTAATATAAGCTGAAGTATGACGTTACACACATGGAAGCACTTGTCAGGTATTTTATAAAAATGTTCGAGTGATCTTCTTATAACATAGATCAATAATAAATGAACATATTTTTTCTCAACAGAAGTAATATACTACTACTCACTGAGACAGCGTCTCTTTAACTTAAAAAAGACAGCAAATTACCATGTCGCAAGTACGTGAAATAGTCTTGGTTAACCGACAACCCAGCTGCACATGCACATCGCTGCTTTTTAGGCAACACAAGGACTTTCACTTTAGCCGTTTAGTGATCACCCCTGCCCCAATCGAGAACGTACGTGTTGTCCAATTTGGTCTGCAATCAGGTCGGACGTCCAAAAAGGACGCACACGAACAGTGGCCCCCGTTCGGGCACTTATGAATCAACAAGATCCCTCCACCAATTCACTACCCAAGATCCCTAATCGGTATGGGCGGCAAGGTGGGCTTACCCAGCTAGACCTGGCACCCTGAGAGGATTACAGAGCCACTCAGCAGTGCACTAACCAGTAGCCATTCCAACCATCTGGCCTTCAACTTCCTTGTGCTGATACAATCGACCGAACCCTCAGACCCCACATGAAGCTAAAGATCGAGTTTGTCCATCAAGGTCAGACGGAACGTACACACTCACATGAGGAAGATGTCATGGACTCAACCAAGTGCAAGCACTCGACCAAGCTGGGTTAATCCGACAGAAGTGGGCAGACATCATTGGCGTCCAGTACCCTTTAGCACAGGATCACATAACCCAAATAGAGACCCTTGTTTAAGGGGCCTCAACGCAGGTTTACACAATACATCGAGATGCACAGTGTTCAGGACAACCACATAGGGTCGGCGTCAATAGTTCAGGATCTCTACGGCTCCTTCCCCAAACAGAATATCTAGGGCCGCCTTCAATCATCCTGGAAAGCTACATCCATTTCAAAGCATTTGCTACTACGGAATCATCGAGGACAAGTCAGTCCTCAAACCATTATCGGAATTTACCTACACTCGATGGACCTGATTCAGACTTAGAGAGGTTCAGTCCTATTCCTCCAGAGTGGCTAACCGCATCCACATCCTTGCGACCATGAACACGTACCGTTATTCTGGACCATGCTGAGCACGATATCCTAAGTGTCTGGAACGGCTTTTAGCCTCAGCGCTGTAAACAACGCCACGTTTCCTGGCAGGACCACGAAGAGGCAAACCGCCACCACGACCTCCAGAAGGCTCCATTTATGCGCATGACCTAATATACTCATTCAATTAGATGACGAGGCATTTGGTTACCTTAAAAGAGTCATAGTTACTCATTGAGACAATGTCGCTGTAACCTAAACACATCGAATCCTGCGGGGTGCAGGAGTCGTGGATGCGCACTGCTGAGGAGTCCCATACCAGGACGAAACGGCCGTCCAGTGCTTCCAGGTATCTAGTGGTGGTCTAACATCGATCGATTCATAGTTTCAAAAATGTGTAACTTAACAATCTGTACAACCCCTGTAATGCACATCAGCAAATTACCACGTCGCAAGTACGTTAAATATATAGGTTATGGAATTTTTAAACTTTGATGAAATAATTGATTAATGTCACTTGTTGCCTTATCGAATTATTTTAAAATAAAAATTTTACTTTTCTCAGTCATCGAAATGGAATAAAATCACTGACTAATTTATTTCTGAACTATTTTCAATGTAACTAAATTGAAAATTTTAATTGTTTCAGGTCAACAAAAACAGTAAATATTTTTACATTTGTTTCAATTCTAGTTCAAAGAGAAATTCAATCAACTAAGCATTTTTTTTGACCTGTTTTTATGATTGTTCTGCGTGTATTTAAAAATGTGATTTGTATTTTATAAAAAAACATTTAAATATTGTTTTAAAAGTAGTAAATTATTGATTTGTTGAATGGTTTCTGTACATTTTTTTTTCGTTTTACTGTTCAACGTTATAATTTTTATGAATTCATGACGAAATTAGAATTGAAAAATTGTTTTTTTTTTCATTTGAGAAATAAATTTTGTTACATTACACTTGATCATTTTTAATTAATTAATTACGTAAAGCGTAATCAGTATTTTAATGAGAAATAATGCAAATTGACTAAAAAAAACTGAAAAATAATGTTGATCATTTAAATGATAAATGATACACCATTTGTTCATTCGTAGTGATACAGGAATAACTACTATTAAAATTTACCGAAATAGAATGGTACATTAACTATTCGATATCACTTAGTACTCAATGATTTTTAATAATTAAACATGACTTTCATATTATTCAGATTAACCCTCTCTATTGTCAAGGGGTAATTTTACATTGGTTTTGAGGAGAAACAAGGATGTGGTGTGAGCTACTTATAAGTAGTATATGACGTGAGTGTAAACGTAATGTCTGGCAGCAGAAGATGGGGGAAGATCAAGAAAGGAAGAGTTAGAAAACAATGGAATTTGTATGAAACGCATGAATAGTAACATTGAATTGATGTTTTGCAACCGGAACAGTCCAGTTCGATATGACGAACTGATATTTTGCAAATGAACGATTAACGATATGGTTTTCCTATTTTACTGAGTAACTCTGTAATTTCGTTAAATACAATCCGGTTGCCCTTGCCTGTGTTCTCGTTCACTACAAGGAGACT